ATCCAGCGGGATGTTCGTAGACCGATTGTACAATAATTACCAATCGATATTTGTAAATGGGTATCTAAATATGTATGAACTAGTTTGTGTTGCAAGATAATAAGAAAGAGAAAGTTGAGTAAAGTATGGTTTCTTGTATTGATTCTTGCATTAGCCTTTGTATAGGGTACATGGGAGAGTATTTATAGTGTCACAAGTTAGATCGTGACCTTTGGTTCGGGGTACACGTGGCCTCATCTGGTTAATTTACTTGTCAAATTGTAGGCATCAGCCGTACCTACCCTACTATACATTTATTGATTGGCAGAGCCGTCTCTACTAGTGACAAGACTTAACATTTACACTCATGACAAACGTCCTATCAATCATTCAAGTAAAATTTTTGTGCAGAGGATCTCTTGGGAGAAGTGTCTATGGAAGATGCTGCTTTGTGATTCGGAGGCTGCTACCTCGGCTACAGAGTTTCGGCCAATAGGGACTCGTCCACCTTCAAAGGGCCTCGGCATATGGGTTTCGGAAGCTCCTCAAGAGGCAATGATAGATGGGCCTAGGCTTTTGTGGACCTCGGTTTGTGGGCCTCAGCTTGAGTGCCACGTGGTTCGACATGAGTTGGCTGTGGGCCCCAGTGGGTTACCCAAGTTTGCAAACACGTAACAACTACCATTGATTAAAAAGACTTGTACGTAGTCATCGTTTATCGTTTATCTTTGTTATGTTAAATGACCACATTTATATAATCAAATCTTGATTAATAGTATAGAACTCATTTATAAATGGACATCAGTAGCCAATTAACCTTAAACAGTAACTAAAATTTATAACCAATTATTAATACTCTACAAAAAACAATTAAAGAATGGTTGAGCAGACCACATCAATTACATATATTCGTGGAACCCATAGGATGTATTAATTAATTGTGAAGGGGTACAATATTAGCAGCAGACATCGACCTATGAAATAAGTAATTTAAATAATTAATGTTAAACTTACTTGATCATATACAGTGGCTAAAGGCACGAATTCATCAAGGAATAAATAACTCCAACTTCGTCTTTACTCTTAGTTATGATTTACTAATTGTAAAGGGACTATTAGTTTGAGCCACACTAGCTTAAAACGAGCCAAATATTGAATCCTCTATTCGGGTCAAGATTAATGTTAACATAAAATGATTTTGTATGATTCATAGAAGAGATGATGATTGATTTTCATTTGAAAATAATAGAATGATGACAAACGTTAAAATGCCTTGTGCATAGATATCTCAAAAAGTTTGTTACTTAATTTTTGCAATTTAAGTTGTCCAAATTAGAAAAGTCAAATTTTCATTTGGGCCTTCATTTACGTTAATTATATAAAAGAATATAGGAATTTACGTATTGGTTTCACATGGCTATATGTCGAGACCAGATGGTCTCGACGTGTGTGAACCGTGTGACCGCTTTTGGTATTTTTTTGCCGTTGCAAATTTGAAATTAGTGGCTTTTCACTTGATTTTTTAACGTCATTTCGAACTTCTAGTTGATGGCTATATATAGGTGAGCCATGTTTAAGAAAAAGATATTAGAAAAACATCTTGCAATCCATACTTTGTTCCACGAACAATCAAATCCCGATTTACATTCATGTTCATTCTCTCTTCGTGTTTTTCAAGTTTTGAAAAATTTCACTTTGTACTTTAGTAAAATTCTTTACAAGACTTGTTACAATCTTTCAAACTATTTGTCGGAATACTCTTAAACATCTCATAAATATCGGAGAGAGGGCAAATAATGTTTAAGGACAACGATCCTGTGTTCGAGTCTTCAAAATTGTTATTGACAACATTTGTGATTTCTTCATCTTGTTGCTGCGATTTTCTTGTTATTTCTTTTGTCTCTACTTCATCCCTTCATTATTTTCCAACAATCTCAAATGTGGCATCCTACATGACGATTTATAATTTGATATATTACTGTAGTAGTTTTTTCTTACTTCATCTAGCAAATTACTAATTGTCACATGTATGTCATGTAGGGCAACTGTGACGATGAGTGATTGTAAATAGAATTATTCGTCAACTGATTAAATTTTAAATCAATTTACCTAATATAAAAGAGAAAACGGATTATTATCATAATGCTTAGATTCCAAGTCTAATTATAAACATAAAAAAATATATCATATAAAATATTATAAATTTAATGAAATTATATATTTATGTTTGATTTAAAATTACTAGACGCAATGATTTGCAGCAACATAGCTAGTCACGACAAAATAAAAATATTATTAATGCAATTAATTTAAATAGACATAATAATCAATAGATATAAGAGTGCGGCATTACAATAAAAAGTGATCAACTAAAATAAAAAGTAAAATTTGAATTAAATAAAATTATAGTGGCAAACATTAAATTTCTCTATAAATTAAATGGCAAACAACATTTTGTGTTGAAATGTCTCTCCATTGACTGACGTTAGAACTTTACAAACTAGATGGTATATATTTGTAATTTTCTGAAAAAATGGAGTCAGTGAGGAAATTTCTTGAGGGGAATTTCAATTTTTCAAAAGCTGCCTAAAGCAAAGCTGAAGAAAAATCGAAGTCACGGAGTGAGGGGCCACGGCTACGATAAAAGTCTAATGCAAGTACTCTATCTCACAAAGTGTAGACTGTAGTTAATAGAAGGATGAAAATTTGGGTGAGCTTTATAAAATTTATTATCTTTTTTTCCTGAATTTTAACATTAAACCAATAAAAATTAATAACATTTTGAAAATAATAGAAAATACTTCATTGACTCTTCCAATACAAGAAAACAAATTAAAAAAAAAAATTTAATTACTGTCTTACAATTAATAATTTTTGTTCAATCAATTAAAAGTTAAAAGCATTTTTTGTGTTTGTTGTTATTTTTGTTGCTAAAAATAATTTCTTATACATTTCAAGTTGGAAGTAGTTTTGCAACTTAAAAAATTATTTAGAATCTATTGTTGTTGACCTCAAAAAATGTGCCAACAGATGTCCAATTCCACTAAATCCACGTAAACAAATTCTGACGGATTTTATATTTGATGCCCAATCCCAATCTCCCCAATTAACTATAACTACATTTTAAGGTGGATCAAATATTTATTATTAAATAAAAATTTGATCAATTTTATTGAGTTAAATTAACGCATAGAGATCCTCACGTGTGACAAGATATTTTTAATAATTTGAAATATCTATAAATGACAGAAGAAAAGACATTTCAATAATACTTAATTACCTATTGTTGACATCGAAAATTGGACTCTCCACATGACCAACGGATAGCTATTCTACGTAATCCTTTCTGCGCATAACAACGCACAGTCAGAAGCACACGATCGAAACCAGCGGTGGTGGCGACGGCGGCCGCATACACTCCGACGGTCAAGTCAACATTGAGTGATTGAAACAGTGCTCAAGTAATGCAAGAGAGTGGGAAGGAGAATTATATATTTCTTAGTATGGAGAGTTAAGTTATAAGAGTTTCATTACTTTTATCTCTTGTCAAACTTTGGGTATTTATAGATGTAGAGTACTGTTGAATGTGTGACACGTGTATACATCTGACGGTGTGAAGCGTCCGCTCGTAGGGTCAATCAACCGCGTCTAGAGTGAACCGGCAATTAATTCTTTTGAGTTGAGTTAACATAAAGTTGATACGTCACATCAACTAAACTTATAGAGACGACACATCAATTGATCTTTGGAGATATATTTCTAACAGTGGTGACGAAGGGATCTGTTAAGGGAATGCCTCGGGGTGTTCAACGCTTCGGAGTTGAGGGACACTTCGATTACTTCAGTGGATCTACTCTTCACCTTGCAGCGTGCCATGTTGAGGTTGTCAGGAGTGGGCATCACTTCGAAACCACTTCGAATGAACACGTGGCACTTTGGGGAGTCGCGTGGCTGTTTCTCCGAAGTGTTTCGACTAGGGGATGGACAAGTGGGAGTGGTGTGACAGTTGTTCCGAAGTGGTTTAACTAGGGGTGTAACACCTATAATCGTTAATTTGGCAATAGAAAAAGTTGAAATTAGAAAATTTAGAGCCCGTTTGATTTCCAAAATGAAAAACATTGTTGTTACGGGACCTACACAAGAGATAAAAAGTCAAATATAGTGACTTAATAAGATGAATAACGATCATATTTTTCATTTTTGTGGTCAAAAAATGATAATCAAATGGGTACTTAGTATAAAAGACTAGACGAGGGTGGTTGCATTTAGCAGCTCTCAAAAGTTAAAAGAGGTACTTATTTAAATATGTCTGAAGTAAAAGCAAATATGTATATATTAATGAAAAATGCAGCACTATTTCTAAAAATTTATACTTGTACACTGTAAAAATCTTAAAATATCACCGTCTTCTCTAGCATATCATCACCGTCTTCTCACCCTACTTTCTATCTACTTCGACAGCGAGCTTTTAGATAAAAATTAAGGATTAAAACTAAACCCATGTTTGGTGTGAATTAAACGTTGATTAAAATTTTAAAATAAAGTCAACAATTAATTTTAACTAAACATTTCATGAAATTCACAAGCACAACTTTTCAACCACACATCTCAAAAATTTTTATCAAAATTCACTCAAAATTTGACTTTAATTCTCACCAAACATGGGCTAAATCTGATTAAAATACACAAAAGAAAATCTTACACAAAAGACATGTTATCTGAGTCGGTGATTTCAGCCAAAAAAACAAAAAGAAAAAAAAAATGTGAGAGAAATGAAGCAAAAATTAAAAATGACACAATCAACTACATTATGTGTAAATTATTTTATTGGAATAATGTGCGATTAAAAATAATTTTTTTTTTTTAATGAATTTTTAAATAATGGACCTCAAATATGGACTTGATAAAAGAGGTCAACCAAACCACGCGGAAGAGAAGGCATCTGGAGAATTTGTGGTTTCAAACATTGACAATGTGATGATGATTCTGCACTTATTCCAAGCCAAACAAATCTATAAAAATAAAAAAAGAGCGAAGCTACAAAAGTGCCATTTCACTTGTACAAATGTTAAGAAAGATTCAAATAATAAAGGATTTTGCTGTCTACAAGGTAATTAAGATACTCAAACTGAGTAAATCATATCCCAACACCAACTTATTAAAGCCTAATAGATAAAACTACACTTATCCAAGCCATCCTAAATGGTATCGTCTTCTATTAACAAAAGGTATCGAGAGTTCATGGGCACGAGCGAACCTACATCCATCACCAGCAAATGTTCTCTACACGGCCCGTATTGGGCTCTGGGTAGAGCTCATACCTGAACCGCCAGTCCCTGGTTTAGCATGAAATGCGGATGGCCTCGTAGAGCCTTCGACGAGTTTTAGAGAGAGAGAAGACGGCCCTGAATCACCAATGGTTTCCCCTAAGCTTAGTTTTGACATGCCAACGAGCTCATCAACGTTAATTGGACTCTTCGAATGGACAGCCGTTGGCTTGAGCACTTCATGGGTTTCTTCCTTAACGGGCTCCTGATTGTACCCTGGCCAAAATGGGATGGACAATGGAAAGAATGGAGCAACATAAGCAGGATATACAACAGGGTACGAGAATTGTGCGCCCTCAGGTTTAGGAAGCACGGCCTCGCCATCATTGGAGTTCGCAGATTCCATTGACTCACATTCTTCATCCGCAGGAAGAGGAGGAAATGCATTGCTGCTTTGTGGCTCAGCTTGTGGAAGGTCTACAGGGAAAAAATCTCTTGATACCACAGGATTGTCGGCTGACTGTAAAATTATCACAAGGAAGAAGATAGATACGAGTTAATCCTCTAAAATGATGACATAAGAACACAATCTCATGTTCAAATTCAATGCAATTTCTCAATAACATATTTTAGTTCAGTCCAAAATATTTCATTCAACACATCAATAAACGACACTTGATTGCTCTTGCAGCCATGGATCAATAGGAATACACCAATCATCTAGCATTCGTGTTGCATATCATGTTCACCAAACTCATATTTAAAAAAAAAAAATAAAAAAAATTGCTTCTTTGCCAACATAATAGCCTTTTTTTTCTTTGGCAACATATTTGGTATGCAGTACTTGACATGGTATAATAATTTTGGCTAAATGCTCTAACTTAATTCAGTTCAATACTATCTATCCTCCCTACCAAAATTGCCATAAATGTAATAGTATCATCCTTTCTTATATATAAAAGTTTAAAAGGAATGCTTACTTCATCTGCCACTATGTCAAAGAGGCTGGAGCGTCTTCTCCTCCTAGATATATTGCTTTGCCTGATGAAGTATTTTTGGGCATGGCTAGCCACCTGAGTAGGCGTTCTGGTTATTACATAATTACGAGCAATTCCGCGCCAGTCACCTTTACCAAGCTTTTTCAGACCAAGCAGAAACATCCTATGCTCTTCTTCAGTCCATGGAACACCTGAAAATCAAATAAATGACCGTGTCAAACATAAAACATGCATATATAAATGAACAGACAGCATAGGGAAAAGTATGCATGAATAAACGTTACAAGAGTGTTCAATGACAGACGCACCAACACTGTTCAAACAGATGGCCAGTCTAAATCAGGCAATCTATTGAAACTTTGGCACCCTAACACGTGACAATAACTAACAAACAGAAGTTTCAACCATGTATACTGAATCTGTCCTTTCCTTTTTCTTTTTTCTCTTCTTCTTCTTCATTTTTTTTTTATGTGGGGGACCTATAGAGATATTGTTGCCAACTTTCACTAAAATCAACACACAAACTTCATTTTCTTCTTTAATTCTATCAAACACTATTCAATACTTCTTGCCAAACATTCCCTCTGAGTTTCATTGATATTTTACAAGTCTTCAGATCCACAATTAGTTCACAAAGGCCAAAATCACGACAAGTCTTTCAAATGAACTCAAATTATGTATTTATCAACTCACAAAAAACCAAGAAAAGAATTTTAAGATAATAAATTCATGGATATAGCAAAATATTTATATTGCCAACTGCAGTCAAAAGATGGCTGCTTATTATTAACAAAAAATCCAACGAAACTCCACAGAAAAGAAATTTCAACCAAGCCATTCAAAAAATTGTGAGCAACCAAGTGTCTATTAATTCTCGATTTCTCTTAAAAGTACAGACATTTGAATCCAATTGTAGGTCACAATACGCAAACAGACCAAACCACTAATCTGGTTTTCCCCAATAACCCTAAAGAAAAAGGGCTTCTGCCTGGTGACAAGCAGTAACACAATACATAAGAACCTGAATGTTCTTCTCATATTAATCTGATCACTTTCTCTGTTCATTTTGGCCTTGAAAGCAATAGTTCCTCTTTTCATAGTTTTCCAGCATTTAAAAAATGCAAAAATAAATAAAGGTATAACCATTATGTCAGCAACATGATCTTCCCTACATTTCTCCAGTCTATAAGAGTTTATAAAAACCCAAATCTTCTCTTATTTCTAAACCCAGGAGAAGGTCAAATCAACAGGATATTACAAAAATAAAATCCCCAACTTTCTTGCATTAATTCTTCACCAGAATGCCAACAGAACCCATCACTTTCACGCATGCCGATAAACTTTTAATAAGTCAATTATAAACAGAATACACAAACTTTGAGCAGGCATATACACGAATCATTTCTGGCTGCAGCAATTTCAATATGATCCTATGCACAGAGAAAAAAAATAAAAATCTGGCACTTATCCTTTTCTTTCTGAAATGATAAATTTACCTGAAAAATTCCATAGATCCAAATTCCCAACAATAACCATCAGAAATACACATGCATACGCCAAAAAGAGTCTCCGTATAAAAACGCAATCACACACAAAAATAAATGAAATTCGAAACCTTTCTTCCTCTCGCGGCTGGAAGACGACCCGGCAACAAAGTCCTCTGAGGCATATCCATCGGCGACGCCGGAGCCAGATGAGGGGTGGTCAGGGGTGTCGGCTGGGGAGTCATGAGCGACGCCATTTAAAGGGGTCCCACTTCCACTTCCACTCCCACCACCACCCATATAATGGGTCAAATTACCCATACTAGCACTCTTCCGGATCGACCCATCTGTCAATCGAACCCCAAAAAGCTTCACTCCTCGATTCGGGCACGTCCGAGAATTGTGTCCGTTGTGACTGCAATGCGAACACCTCCTTGTCATGCTTGCAAAAAAAAAACCCACAAATTGAATCCAAAGAAAAACCGTAATTAACAGCAGAAAATTGGATTCAATTCAAAATGGATCTGATCTTCAAGGGCTGTTTTCCATGATCAGAAATATAGGATTTGTTCTTGATGTTTCGGTTTGTTTGTGGTTAAAATGAAGCCACTGCTATGTGGACACAAATATTAGGGAGAGAGAGAGTTGATGAGAGAGGAAAATGGGCTGAAATTTGTTATAATGTTCAAAACAATACATGAGTCAGGTGTGGACATAAATGTAGGTCAAGGACATAGAAAGCTCAATGGGAATGAGATAACTTCATGTTTGGCTTAACTAAAAATTTCCGGAAATTTACTTATAATTAACTAAATACATTTTTACAAAAACTATTGGTCAAAATTAATATTAAACAAATTCCTTTTATCCTCAGAGAAATAGTTTCTTTTAAATAAATTTACTGAAATAAAATAAAAAAAAATTAAAGTAGGAATGATGATGTTTACGCAGAAGCGTATGCCATAAAGGTCTAATTTTTCGAGAATATGTACATAGTCCAATGTCTAGTCAATTACCTTAAAATGAAGAGAAAAAAAAAAAGAAGAAGAAAAAAATTGATATAAGACATATTCATTACCATTACTCGAGACGAGATAAAATGAGTTAATTGATTCGTCTAATCTATGAACATTTCAATATTAACGAGAGGACGAGACCTTAATATATAAATAGCATGTCCTAAAAGTTTTAGAGCTAAGAAAAACTTAATATAAATTTCCGTTAAGAGTTGAATTGACCTATAAAACAATACTCGCCCCCTTGCTCCATGAATTTTTAGGAATCGGAGTTGGGATTATGAATAAAAATTGAGCATCATTTTTTCTACTAGAACGAATATAATGAAAAATGATAGAAGCATCAATGTTGATTCGATATTCTAATTTAATGTACGAACAGTCGAACACCTTCCCGACAACATTTTTTTAGTTAAAATTCTTGATCATACATATGTTCCAACAACGTCTACAAATAAATTACCCTTATTTGGGCTCTATTAAGTCAAAAATTATTTTTTCATACCTCATTTTCAACTACTCACTCTTCAATAAAATAATGGTGCACGTAAACTCAAAAATTTTCTTATTTTTTAATAACACATTGTCCAAAAAATTACTATTTTAAAATACATTTTCCCCAAAATCTCATTAAAATGGAGCACAAACAATGGCTTAATATATTTTGTATATAATTGTCACACACGACGCTCGAAGACGATGAGATAATATTTTTTAAAACAGTTAAATCTTATTTATTATATTTTCAATTATTGCAAATCAAGGTTGAAATTCGCTTTAAATTTAGTGATAACTAAAAATAAAAAATAAAGAAAAACATAACGAAGATCCAAACGTGCATCACGAGACGTGTTACAACGTACAACTTATGAACTTATATGGTCGGTGAGATTTTTCCAACTTAAAACTTATGTGGTCGGTGAGATGTTTCAGAGAATAACACGTGGGAGCATCTTAACGGCAGAAGGTATATCCTACGGTATATGATTGCTCATTGCTTATCCGTACAAATGTGATATGTCAAACCTTATCTCCACAGCCTACCCCTTTATCTCTCTTGTGGATTATGTTTTTTTTTTTTTTTTTATATATATATTCGCGCAAGTCATATACATGGTCAAAACCCTAAGATGAAGTATTCATAATTTATGATTATAATTAAAAAGAAACAACTTGGTTAATTTTGTATTAAATTCGAGGATAAATGTCTAATTAAAAAATATTGACAGTTGATATGTAATTAACGATGTTATTAAAGATCGTGTCTATTCGAAAGTTTGTTCGATTATAAGTAAAAAAGCTTAAATTCTAAAATTGTTCAATGGTCTTAAGCATGAACAGAACCTGATGCATATTGGCGAGCCTGATCCTGTTCTTTTACCCAACTAATGTGACGATCTACTTCGTCCAGCATTGTTATGATTTGTACTCTTCCTTCCATAAGTCTTCTATGGGGTTCAAGAAAGCCTACTTCGTCCAGCATTGTTATGATTTGTGCTTTTACTTCCATAAGTCTTCTATGGAGTTTAACATTCATCTACACGTAGGTGACGTTCTTATCTTCTAATGCTCGCGGTTCCATTGATGAGTACAAACTCTGGCTTAGCAAGAGGGACATATAGATCCACCAACTTCATTCTTCAAAAAAGTTAGTCAACCGGCACAAGCAAGCCATAAAGGAAGGCAATATACTCCAATAATTTCAACTATAATAATAAATAGCTAGAGAACGTCAACTTGTAGACAAATAAGATAAAATAACAAAACGATTGTGACGAGGAATAGGACTGGAATGGACTACCGTTGAAGAATATGGGAAAGATGAGGATATAATGGATATTCATATTAGGTTGAAATTTTGTTCATTCCCTCTGCTCGCAGAGTAGCATATCGAAAAGGGAGAAAAAAATTGATATCATAATGTGGCAAGATTTATCCAATCTCCACCACTCTTAAAGAATCTACTTAGTCATCATGGTATAGAAATTAAAGTTATGTTATATGTGCAAAGTTGGTTGATAAAATAATATCTAAATCAATCATTTCAAAAATAAAATTTTAAATTATTGGAAATCAATGACCTGAATTTTTGCCAACACTTATTTGTCGACCAATTTTATAAATACACTTTGTACGAATAGCATAATACTAAAAATTAACCCCTACATCTATTACTTCATGAAAAATCAAATTTTTGATAATATATTCACGGGTTTATATCTACAAAACCTACAAATATAGTCACATAAAAAATTAATAGTTCATTATCTAATGCATATTTTCAATCTTATACTGTATTCTAGAAGGATAAAGATGGACGGTCAGAGCCATATGGACTTTGGCCATTGAGGGGCGCGATGTATTGATGG